CAAGGACATACACAAACAGCAACATCTAGTGAGAAATTTATAAACTAGAAGCACCTACAAACATAAAATATACAAACGGAGGAGGGAACGACCCACATCTTAGGAAAATTCGCCCCTAAAGTAGTAGCTCCGGCTGGGCACCTTGCTATCTGACCCAACTACCTGTTGCTTAAAGGAATATGGTCCTCGCACATTTTTTTCCTGAACTATTTATACTATTTTGGTTAAAGGCAGGTCAATTTACATCACGTTCTGCAAGCAAGGCGATGAGAGAAATGTGGTATGCGTTACATCGTCTCGTCACAATTGCAGGATTTTCTTCGAAACTGGTGTGGCCTTCCAATGCGAAATGTATACGGTTTTCTAAAAGTGACTCCGGGCTATCGATGTTTGTGTAAATAACGAAGGAGCTTCACTAAGAGCATATCACAATGCACGTGTTGGCTACATATGTGCGTGCACCGGTGGCTCAGCATGCTGTCACAAGAAAGGGAGCTACGATAATCCAACACAAATGACAGACCGGACAGCTACTGTGTACAGCCTTGAAGAGGAAAAAAGTAACAGCCATAGAAAAGAAATTACGCGAAATGATAAAAAAGAAGAAATTACATAAGCCCACACCAGTGGGATGTCTGGGTTGACAGCTCCAGAGTTGGCCGTGGAATCGGCGGCCAAAGCAAACAACATCGCGGGACAGGGATCCCACCCCGAGGGGATAACGCCACGCGTATAAGCTGCTATGTGGCAAGCAACTCTGACAGCGTCATCTCCACCGCCTTTTCCTGCGCCACCGGGAGCCGCTGCTACAGTCGCCAGTTCGCTACCCCTTAAGAGGCAACGCCTTCCACGGTCGCTTCCTCCCTCTTTCCAATTTGTTCAAGGTCCGCGACAAGGAGGGTCCCCGCGTGGAAACGGGCTGAAGGAGGAACCGCGTTCTTCCTACTAGCTTATAGTAGCGTTCCGACTATCGATCGCCCACACCACAAGGATCCAGCGGCAACCTAAAACTTGGCAGCTAGCTCCCCCCCCTCCCTCGTCTTGCGACGTGGCGAGGAGACTGTTGTTCTGCGCTTGGGATATATAAGAGCGAAACTCTCGCCAAAACAAATAAGAAGAGAGGGACAAATCTCAGTGTCCGAGTCAACCCCCCCCCCCCCCCCCCACTCTGCACGTCTCTGCGCCCTTACCAACGAGAAAAAGAAGAAAAGTAAACGGAGACACAACGTCGCGGGTCTTCTTATTTGTGCTCTGTTTGCGAAGCAGATGAGAAGGAGCCCGGTAGTGTCGTCTCAAATTCGGGGTAGTGGTTTGCGAAGTACGGATGCGCGTGAAAAGAGAAAACAAAACGAAATATGGAGGTAATATTTTTTTGTTTGGGAAGAAGCCGCTATCCCCCGCGGATGTCTCTATGAGTACGATAACGAAGATCCTGAGAGGAAAGACAAACTCTAGGATAGGCTGTATATGCTTGTAAGCGTCTGTATTTTGGTTTCACGAACGGGATAGAAAGGAATTGGCTCTCTTTGCTAACGGAGATATATTTTGCTTGGAAACGGAGTGCAGAAGAGAAAAAAAGACGAAGAGGGGAGGTTGTTTTCGAAAGCGGTGCTTCCGTAAAGGTGCCGGAAGAAGTGAGTAATAACATTTTATTACTCGCTCAGTGACAACGCTTGGCTATTGCGCTACTGTACACGAGGCTTTACTGTACGTACCGTCTTGAATCATGTATTTTCCAAATAATAATAAGCAAAATTGAAAAATAATGAACATCAAAAGTTTTTCTTGTGAACAATGTGAGTAACTCACTGAAATGAGCTATCCGTGAGTAAAGTAGTTCTTTTGACGTGGCTGTCGCCCACAAAAGCAAACTAATTTTTTTCCTGCAGTGCTCGCACGCATTTTTCTTGAAGAATTTTGTCACAACACAATTGTACGACAAGGCAGGCGATAATTTCTGGCATGAATGCCGTCCTTGATTGTAATATTTGCCTGGACATTTTACAACGAGTATGTATCTCGGATAAGTACTTCGATACATATATGTAGGTATAAGTGTCACAGACTTTCTTTCATTTGAATAGGGAAAAATGAAAGTGAAGTTTCAAACACCCAATGACTGCTGTCGAGGATAAAATCCAGGAAAGTGTTCGAAAGACTCTGAGCTATTCAGCTGCAATGGCAAAATAATGGCAAACCCCTTATCTCGAAAGCCGCAGTTATGTCAGCAGTTTTACATGTATGGGTTTGATTCTGCATTTTCTGCAAATTGCGCTGAAAAAAATAATAAATACATTTTTAATTGCGGTAAACTTCATCCCAAATTTATATTGATAACCCCAAGGTAAAACCAAGACAATACCAACCAAGACCTAGTTGTTTAGTGCAACCTCTTTTTCATTTAAAAATAAATTAAATTTTAATTTGGAATAAATAAATGTATTTCATCCTTCACATTGTGTTGGCTTTGCAATGCTTAATAAATACTTTAGAAATGCACTTCGAAAAATCAGGAATACTTCAGGTCAGCAAAGGTGATGTGCGCAACAAAATTCTCACGAAGAATATCTAATTTGTTAGCCCGATGCATTTCAGTACTGAGAAGGACAAATGCTAGAATCCTTCTACATAATATCATCTCCCCGATGTTACTATTCTTAGGCCTGCTGTATTATTTATGTGGTGTCAGTAATTGAATGTTTGTGTCTTGGACACAACAAAAGCAGCCGAGTCGTGTGGTGGCTGTAGGATGTTTACGAAGAGGAGATATATACTCGAGCCAGTTCTTGCGCAGAAATATATAGAATGGTCCAAAAACCCTTTGAAAAAATAGGGCCAGGATATAAATAGCATTAACTTGGGAAGGAATACACAATGACCAATCCTCAAAGAAGACTCAGCATGGGAGGGAAATACAAATCTCAATATTAGTTTATACCCGATGATGGCGTAGATGTGGGAGGCCTTTATGGGTTAAATTTTTTTAATGTATATAGAGAGAATATATAGGGTGTATAGAATATATTTCAGCTGCAGTACTTTACAGAGTGCTTACATATCTATAGCCCACCCAGACATTGAGCACCTACCTTAAATATTGCCAGAGCTACACCTAGTATTTAGACACACGTACTTGTAAAACACAGGTCATCATTTTACTAGACAACATCCAGAAAAGAGCGGGTAATTTTAGTTCAAGCAATACAGTAATCAGTCAAGTATAACACAAACAATGACGTCTCATTACAAATGTTATTCCTGCCACCGAAAGGTATTTATTTAATAATTAAGGTTTATTCACTCAGTCTATACTAATCTAACTTGAAAAGGTACAATGTAGTCTTCATATAGACCGTAAAATCAATTCAGCCACCCTAGATTATATAGAGGTTACGTCACGTCAAATAACTCTGCTTTGCCTCATGCTAAACGGTAAAGAAAGACTTTTATCGCGTAAGTTGATTTCCAGACAAAGCAGCCTTAATTTTGGAATATTTAATCCGAAATCGTGCCTTTTCAGCAGCTTACATTCTTTAACCCATATTAAAAAAAGACTTTTCTGCATAACTCATCATAATTATTATAGTGTAATATAGAGTAGTTGAAATGACTATTGTCTAAACTTTACGTATTTCATGTATTCTCAACTTAATTATGAAGATCTGATGCGCTGCGATATCACGCCGCACGTAGATCTCCATATCGTGTGTTATATTACGGTGGCTCTGTGGTATCGCGTAATGGGAGTAATAATTTTATGACACTGATGTACATGTTGCTTTTATGAATGATTTGCATCGGTTGTATGACAGTACTTTTTTTTTCTTGAATGCCTTCTTCACGCCTCTAGGTATCGGTAAGTAAGAACAAGAGTATCGAAAAAAAGCTGAAACACGACTTCAGAACGTATGTGAGATGCTAAGACTCTGACCATATATTCAGCAGTTACTTGAGCATTTAATGACTTTATTTTTCTGAAAGTCAGCAACTAGAATCTGTAACACTTTTAGAAAAAAAATTAGTACAGCAGCACGTAAACAGTATCCTCCTTGTTTACCACTTCTTTAAATAGATTTGATTGATTTGTGGAGTTTACCGTCCCCAAACCACCTTATGATTATAAAAGACGTCGTAGTGGAGGGCTCTGGAGACTTCCACTACCTGGGGTTCTTTAACGTGCACCCAAATCTGAGCACACGGGCGTACATTTCTGCCTGCATCGGAAATGCAGCCGCCGCAGCCGGAATTTGATACCGCGACCGGCGGGTCAGCAGCCGAGTACCTTAGCCACTAGACCACCGTGGCGGGACACTTCTTTATAAGAGACACCTACACTTTCAAGTAACTTAACTATTCGTCATACTTCACTGTACATAGGCCCCTCATCACCGCATTCACGTACGATAATAGGAACAACTATACTTCTGCTGATGATTCTGACATTTTGGGGGAATTCGGCCCAAGTTAAGGAGGCGTCAACAGCCCACTGGACGCGTATTTATGACCCATAGATATATTAACATCACAGATACGTCACATATGCACGCGTATCTGCCTTGTGTGCACGCGTCAAATCCACCACAAGTTAATCAAACGCTTTAGTCTACCGCAGTTTATGCTAGTAGTGCGTATAGCGCGTGTAACTAACGTCCTTCCACCCGAGTGCTTTGAATAACGTCTATATTCTTAGGGTACGTGGGATTTTTCAATTTTCGTAATCAGTTGCGCCGAAACACACATAACATTACGAAGTAATCATTTGTCAATATTTCCGCGATAGTATGAAAGACGGAGGAGTAGTTTTGTCAACTACAAAGCTTTAACTATATGAATATCTGGAGATTTTTTGATTTTAACTTTTTCGTTCAAAACGTATGAATGATAATTTTGTTCCATTTTTGTTGTTGCAAGAGAAATAAGCACAGGCTTGTAGGTATCATTTATGGTGATTGAAATCTGAGGAGGGCACATTGGTACCCTTTGTTTCCGGTTCGTTCCAGGCGCTGCGCTACGCCGAGGCGCCCGTGGGTGAACGTCGTTGGCGCAAACCGCAGCCGAGCAGCACCCAGTCGTGCGTGGCCGGCCGACGAGCCGAGCACTTCGGCTCGGCGTGCCTGCAGGCCAACCCGGTCACCAAGAAGTTCGAAGGGTCCGAGGACTGCCTCTTCCTCAACGTGTGGACGCCACGCATCGACCCGACGGTGAGTTGTGGAGAGACGCACAATGAAGGGCGTTCTAGATGTTCCTGGCGTTCTCGTCGCTCGATCACCTTTAGCGGGGCCGACCCTTTGTTCGCGTATTATTAGGGCGTATAAAAGCAGCGCACTTGTCCACGTCCAACTGCGGATGACGTAAACGAATTGCTTCCGCTCGTTTGTGCAGCACATTGAAGTAGCCTATTATTGGCACCTTGCCTGTCTTTGGTAGCTCTAGCGGACACCCAGAAGTGTTACTGAAGAAATTCTACTGCCACAGCAGTCTTAAATAACCGCTGTTACATCATTTCCGATGAAGGCGGAAATGTAGGCCCGTGTGCTCAGATTTGGGTGCACGTTAAAGAACCCTAGGTGGTCGAAATTTCCGAAGACCTCCACTACGGCGTCTCATGATCAATGGTGGTTTTGGGACCTTAAACCCCATATATCAATATATAAAAAACCGCTGTAACATTCCATCCCAGATGTTCAATCGCCACTTTCCGTTAGAGTGCCAGCGATTGATTAATACGTATACACGGTTAGTAAATTTAGATTGGCCAGATTTCCAGTTAAAACGTGTATACAGGTGTGGGAATGCTCATTGTAAATTGCCAACACGAATCTCTCTCCACATACGCCTTTACATATGCAAAAATGAGAGATATTAGCACTTAGAAGGCCCTCTTAGTTACGTTTAATTTTTCATCTTGACTTATTCTTGTGGTTACAATGGTCGTTCATTAGCTGATAATATGCATCAACCGAAGCAAATTTCACAGTTCTCACCCTTCTAACAGATTCCTAAATGACGTAGTTCACGCGTGTTTCTGCTAGAGATACTTCGAGCGCACGGTACTGTCGGTTCCTCTCAACATTGTATGGGTGAACACCGAGTCTGATTATGCGCTATTCTCATTCTGATTCTGCACGGATTGTGATTCTGTGCCATGATAGTTGTGCGGGGAGAATCAGAATTAGTGTGACGTTTCTATGGCACTCTTGGGCATTTTAGGGGCGAAGCTCCTTAAAGCGGCCCCCGTTCGTCCCTCGTAGTAGTTCGTAACATGTATTACGCTTTGACCTGACAAGAAAGACCGGTGGGAAATTTCCCCTGTGCGTTGTTGAACAATAAAAAATTCGCAGCGTGTGCGATAGCTAAAAGCCGAATTCTCCTGTCTCTCATTCTCCATCAGCAGCCATTGGCATCTACATTGAGCACTATCTGACGAGAAAGGGTTGCCACGTTGTACTCGCTGGGCGTAACCTACTTTGTTTTAGAAAGGTTTAGCGATCGTTGGGCCGCAGTGCCATGAATGCAGCTAACTAGTGTATACGTATCCCCCTTGTTAAGCAGACCCACTCGACACCACTATCCTCATTTTCTAACGCCAATCTTCGCAAGGACTGATACTTTTCGGTACTCCTTCTTCCCACAAACAATCGATGATTGCAATAAACTAACCGAAGCATTTCCTCAACACCCTTGACCATTTGTGAAAATACCTTTCTTCCATGACTCCCTTGAACTGTATTATCACCTTGTTGTTCAGCTGTTACTTTTTTTTAAGTCATAACCCCTCTGTCTTAGAGCAAAGAAATTGTGTAAAAAACGCTTTGCAACCTTGCTTTATTCTGTTATTTAGTGTGTTTCTTGTATGCTCACCCTGCTTGGACTTTTTGTCCGCAGTATTCTATAAATAAATAAAATAAATAAAACAATACCATGAACTCGAGATGGTTAAAGGTGGGAAGTAGACACGAAGCGCAAGCCGTAAGAAAGTGTGCGTGTGCCACCTCTCGTTTTGTCCTTGAAATGTCCGCTTGATGGCGGTGCTTCTACATGCGGAATATATGATGAAAAGAGGCGAGATGGTGGTACTTGGACTGTTGAATAGATGGACGAACGGACACACAAACAGATGCATGGACGGACGCACGGACGGCTGCACGGACGGATGAACGCATGGAAGGACGCAAGGGTGGATGCACGGACGAATGCACAGATGCATGCACGGATGGACGTGCGCTGGCACGTACAGACACGCCAACAAACCGGTGGATGGACCCACGGCTGGTCACATGGACGGACGCAAGGACGAACGGAAGCAAGAACGAATGGACGGCCGGATGCCTCACTCTTCATCATTCACCCCGTAGATATGCTGTCATTTTTAACCCGTGATTTTAACCCGTGTCATTCACCCCGTGATATGCTGTCATAGAGGGCCCTCTTTAAGGGCCCTGTATTTAAGGGCCCTTATTTGTGGCTCTTTAAGGGCCTTTATTTGTGTTTTTAAAATCATTAAGGGCCCTCTATTTGTGGCAAGAACACAATGTTTTGTTTCCACAATAATGGTGTTTAGTTAGTCAATAAGGTCGACCAAAATTCTTGCGGAAAAACATCATACTTGCAACGCATTCAAAATAACTCTTCAAGAAACCGTGGAATGTAGAGGCTACGACATTCATCGAGCAGTATGTGAGGCTGGTCAAGATGGTGCCCGATAGCTTTACTCCACTTCTTTTGCGATTGCGTGAGGGCACGCTTAGAGTGAAATAATAGGTTCCGACACCTGGCTTATGCGAATTTTGCCTAATATTGTAGTACCATGTACCCGCATTTATATAATTACCATGCACACTGTTAGATTGTTTTATATACGGAATAAATATGAAGCGAAAAATATTTTACCACATTAAAAATATAAACGATGGCAAATTATTGCCGAGAATCCTTTTTCCTCTTGTAGTATAGAAGCCGAAATTTTTACCATGCCCTTACAGCAAAATTATGAATTTTTTTTGTCCTTGTAGTGAGGTTTCACAAACTCTTTACTTCTGCAATGACAATAGAAGAACCTTAAAGAACAGAAAACCTGGCATGACAGCTCTTTCGCAGAACCAACTATGCCTTCTCATCCACATCGGTGTGCATAATAATATACGGGCACAGAAAAAGAAAACTCGCATGTGAATCTAGAACAGAAATTTTTAAGGAGCCAGGGTTTCAAAAGGAAGATTTACCCATTCATTGGCAGAACATAATATACTTTCCTCTTTACGAGTGTTCTTAAGCCACAATTCGGGTCGTTCTTGCCTGCACTCATAAGGGGCGAAAAAAATTGTATGAATGCCGAATTACAGAGCTATCGATAACATAGCCTCCTCGAAATGGCAGAGAAACAAGGACACGAGACTAAGAAACGCAAAAAAAAATACTTTAACATGAATAAGCAACCTCTCAATTCTGAACAAAAAAAAATACACGGTTCTACAATTGCTGCGTAAACTACTTTGTTCGACTCGGAATCAAAGGAATTTGTCCAGAAGAATTACTTTCTAGAGAAAACGACTCTTACGATTGCGAATTTTTTTCAACTGTGATCTCCGTAGGGAGAAAGGTCATCTCGGTGACGAGACACGCATTACACACGGGTCGATTTGGAAAATGGTCTAGTAAGAAAGGGGGACAGCTTGCGCAACGCCATCTTCGAAGACATCTGCGCTCAGAGCATTGGGTTTCAGCGCGCCATCGGTCGGTTGTCTCGTGGGAGATCAGCCCCGTTGGTATAGTGGTGCCGAGAAACTCGTCTGCAAATGCCCGCTTTATCTCCGTCGCCGACGGGGCGCATTAAAGAATGGCGGCCGTACGAGTCATTTGCAGCAGCTTTGCAGACAATGGTCGCCTTCGCTGCTCTTTTTCTTTCGAACCTACGGTGAAGAGAGAATCGCAAATGCGCTCGTTCTTGCATTACGCAAACATTACTTTCGGGTGGGTAGGAGTGTACCCGTGCTGTGGTGTATTTTGTTCAATACTGAATCATTGACGATATCTCTTTGAAGATCCATTACTTAAAGTGCTAGCACTTTAACAGCGAGCGATTACCTTTCAGTGTGAGGCAGGTATCAAAATGCCGCTTTACAGCAATAAAGCAGACAAGACGAATATTTTTTTCTTTATTGCGAAATATGAAAAAAGAAGAGTCGAGAAAAACAAAACAAATGAATAATAATGACATCATTGGGCGTTGTTCTCAATCCTTTTTTCGATTTTTTTTTGTGTTTGACCTTGCTCTGTTTTATACTTTCCGATCAATTTTAATGTACCGGTCATCATTGTATCTTTGGTAGCGACGAAATGAAAGAAAGAGTGAAAAACATACGGGCCACTCAGCGGACGAGATGTACATAGCTTTGTAGTTCTTTTGTCTTTGTAGTTCACCTTCATTGTGATGTTTGCGAAAATAAAATTGTTTGAGTTTTGTTTCCGCTGAGCGAGGGAACTTGAAAGATTACAGCCGAGGAAGCAATATTGTTTGCTCACGCTATGTTATTAGAATAAGTGTTTCGGTTTTCTGAAAGGAAGTATGCGAGAGGCTTGGTTCGTGCGCTCTGCAATGCCCTGTCTTTACATTTTTTAGCTTGTGCTGGGTGCATCGTGCGCTGGTTTTTGTTTTTAGCTTAGTATAATTATAGCTTTACAGTCCATACGCTGCATACGTGTTTCTAAAGTGCCTCTTAATTTTTTTTTATTTTTCGTGTTTGCGTTGATTACGCAAAATAATCAATTGCACACTAAATACACTCTCTCTTACATAAATGAGATAGATGGTTCATTAGAATAGTTGCCAAATGATTTTTCAGTTTGGTTCCTTTTTGTTTTACGCTAAGGCAGCACCATCCATTTAACACGTTCAAGCACTAGAAAACTTTCATTCTATGTTCTTATTTAGTAGGCTTACGTTTAGCGGAGTCAGATATAGAGTAGTCTTAATGGCAGTCTAAACTGTCTTGCTTCGTCAAAATACTGTGCTACAGAGAATAATCAAGTTAGGTAGTAAACAGGTTGCGAAGTGGAAACGCTTGGCGGCAGTCTAATCGTGTCCACTTCGCAAGGTGAGCCCTTCTTAACTTCTGTCTCTATAACTGTTGCGCTGTATTGATATTGTGTGATGACAAGTAGTCTAATACCTCACTTTGCCCTTGCTCCGTTTATCAGATGC